TTGTGCACCCGTACCTTATCCTGTAAACGGTAGTGTGTGCACCCGTAGCTCATCTTGTGAACGGTAGTTTGTGCACCCGTACCTCATCCTGTGAACGGTAGTGTGCACCTGTAGCTCATCTTGTGAATGGTAGTTTGTGCACCCGTACCTCATCCTGTGAACGGTAGTGTGTGCACCCGTACCTCATCTTGTGAATGGGTAGTTTGTGAAGCACCGTACCTCATCTTGTGAATGGTAGTTTGTGCACCCGTACCTCATCTTGTGAATGGTAGTTTGTGCACCCGTACCTCATCTTGTGAATGGTAGTTTGTGCACCCGTACCTCATCCTGTGAACGGTAGTGTGCACCCGCAGCTCATCTTGTGAATGGTAGTTTGTGCACCCGTACCTCATCTTGTGAATGATAGTTTCTGCACCTGCAGCTAATCCTGTGAATGGTAGTGTGTGCATCCGCAGTTGATCCTGTGAATAGTATTTTGAGCACCTACAGCTCATTCTGTGAATGGTAGTTTGCGCACCTCACCTTGTGAATCGTAATTTGTGCACCCGCAGCTCATTCTGTGAGCGGTAATTTATTTTGCTCTCACAGCTAATCCTATGAGTGCTCGTTTATGTACTCAGATATGTTTAACTCGTATAACTGAAGGTTACCTGAAGATTCCAAGAGTCGCAGACATTGCTGCCCGTGTCGGAAGGGTTCGTGGAGATGTGATGGAGTTAAACACCGTCGTTGGATGGTAACACATATATTAGCAGTGTGTGAGAGGGAGAGGCCCAACCTGCCTGTGTTGGCCGTAGACCTAAGCGTGGAGAACTGAGAGAGTTACAGCGATTCTCACGCACACATGCGCATCACGTGACGTCACACGTGCTAGTCGCTGAACCTACTGAAAGGGAGCCTAAATATATACATGGATGATACGATCTACAATATACTACACAAGTATAAGTATAGGGAATTCAGTAGCTATACTGACACCCAGTCCCATGCCAGGTCTCCTGGTGGATGGCCTGATCGATCAAATTGTTTGTGCTAGCCCCATGCAGTGCAACGTAGGTACCACAATCTCGGCTGTTCACTGAAAAAAAAAAGTTTTGTTTGGCTGTTGTAGATAACTACCGGTCTGTAATTTTCCTTATGTACACTATGAAGGGAGATATGTGTATCTCTTTGCACTTATCTCGCACTGTATTCATTTCACATCTGCTTTTCCTTTGGAAGTAGTTGTAATGTCTGCTTAGCTTCTTGTTCTCATGAGGAGTAATTTCGGTGTGCAGATTTGTGAGTATTGTCTTAAAAATTTTCCAGGTGTAAATTATAATGCATATGCCATCTCGCCCATGTTCAGGGAGTAAAGTTCAAGGTACTTCAGACTTTGCTAGTAATTTAGGGGCTTGATTAAATTTCCACGCACAATGAAGGTTCCCTACATTCTCGAACTTTGCTATTTCGCCAAATCTAAATGGAGCTTTACTGTGCAGTAATATTTCAGTCTATTACAGGTGTTATTAGCTTGGCATTTCTTCTTTCAGAGGTTCTAATTATCTATCGTTTCAATTTTCTTGCGTCTGTAATAGCAACATTGAAAAGTGAGACCTGTTTATATATCAAAATATAGGGATGTACCACCTCTAGCACTTTACTGGGGACCCCTCATCCTCAGAGAAGGCAATAAACGTATCTCGGGAAAACTCAAGGTTCTCCCTGGAGCTGTTAGAATATTTTCTTCTCATACCACCCCCTGTATTTTATATTCTATATGAAATTTTATTAATAGAATACATATACAGAAAACATAAACATGAATACATTGGTACAATATACCAAAGATTGTGAATCCCCTCCAGCTCCTCCAGAGCTGGATGCGAGCCAAGTATGCAGCAAGCAGTTCCCCTCTGGATGGCCACGGTGAGGTGCTGGAACATGAAAGTAGCTGCCCTTGGGTCCCTGGTGGTGTCGACGAGTCTGGAACCCAGTTCTTTATGGAAACGTGTGCCATTTTTTTCCCCATGAGACCAAGGTCTCTGATCCCATTGGGACAAATTGATACTGTTGGCTTATGTCCCTATACTTGCTGATCTTGTACTCCTCCCTGTGATCAGCAGCTCCTCCCTGTCGCCCGACACTGTAATGGATGTAGGTGTCAGCCAGTGTCGACACACAGGTATAGTCCCATGCTAAGAGCTTGCCATTCTTCCAAGGATAGATGGTGATCCTGTCGGGGCAGTTTGCTAGGTTGTGAGTATTGTTGGCTGCTAGTGATTGGGGCTCTCGGCTGGGCATCCAGCTGTAGCAAGGGTTCTCCTTATGATGTCGTTGACTTCATTGTGTCTTGCATGCTAGCCCTTGGTTTTGGAACACTTAAGACCATGTATACCATATTGGTGGGCTTGCGCATCACCGCAGATACACGTATATTCCGTGTGAATTGGGGCAGCAAGGCACAGAGCCACTGTAATATGGAGGGTCCTTGGGTCAAGGCGTGTTCCTCTTGTCGAAATGGGAACTGTTTGGAGGATGTCCCCGGAGTGAGGTGCACTCACAGCTTGGGGTGACGGGCAGTCTCCATGTCTGATGTTATAGCCTTAAGCATGTTGGCAAGCACCTTTTCAGCGATGGGGCCATCCGAACTTGACTGTAGGCCAGTGCTGCACTAGGTTTTGGTACTGGAGCAGCAAGAGTCTCCCATTCACTGATGGCATGTGTGTAGGGAACCTAGGATAACCCAAAAAAGTCAGTGAGGCGTATTAAATGTCGTTTAAAACGTTAATATAGACATTTTGCTTAATCCATATACGATATTTTTTTCAAAAATTATATAAACGTGCTACATAACATATAAACATGATAAATATGCCTTCTGAGTCACTGAGGTTGTCTGGAAGAATTTGTTTTAACTCATTTGATACTGTGGAAGAGGATAGGAAAGCCGGTAGGGCAATTTGGGAGGATTTGCGTACTCCCAGCCCCCCTTCCCCCAAGCCTGACTGGAAATGAGCCTTGCAACCACTGTCCATCTTCGAGGGAAAGATTCAATTCACACTAGCATGGTCGTAAGGAGAGGGTCATATGTATATATGTATATATGTACATTATATAAACACATGGAAACTACTTTTGTGCCTGGTTCGTAACCTGCACATATTACATAGCGTATAATTGAAACCTCTTAACAAGCTTGATCTGCCAAAAGGCACAGCCTAGTTCTTAACATAAGAACAGAGTGGTTCTGCAGTTGGCCAATGGCCAGTTGCAGGAGAAAGTGGAAATTCTTGAAACCCTTGTGCTTGCTTGAGTCATCTATTATTTCACTAGTTACACCCCTGCTTTTAATTGAGGGTATTTATTTGCGGTGTATTGGGACTCCCTTGTAAGGAGTAATTCCATTGTGTAAATTTGTAATTACAATATCCTGTATAAATTATACATCTTTTTCGTCCGAGCGTTCTCAGTAAATTAGGTTCCTTAATTTATACGGGTAGTGGCATTTTTCTTTCTGTAGTATATTCTCCAAATCCTTTCTGTATTTTAGAATGCGGTAGATACAGGAATACAGAAACAGCCCACAAATATTTATGTTCAGTATTAGCATGTTTTAAGGATCGTAGCTTTATACGATAATGTGTAAGGTATGCTTCATTTTTACTCTTGCACAGATGTGTACACCCAAAAGTGTATAAAATGCGTACAGTCATAAAAATGTGCTGGGGAGTTAAGCAGTAATAGAGGGCGTTTATGGTGCCCTTTACAATGTTCATGTGCTCCGTAAGTACACTAGTGAGCAACGTAAGTAGTGGAGGACGGGCGGGTGGGAAAGCAGTACAAGCACTGCCTTTATCAGCGCGTGTCACAAGACCCAGAGTTCAGCAGCACCTACCTCCAGCAGCTGTAGCCCCGCGTTACCAAGTGGCCTCCACAGTCGATAAATTGTCCTAACTTGGGGCACTTGGTCCTTAAATATCGGGCCGCCGCCCCTTCTTCCCCCCCCTCCCGCGCGCGCGCGCGCGTTGCACTCCTAGCACAAATGTAAATGACCCCGTGTGTCAAATTCTAGGAAAGGATGTATGTTGGAGTTACTCGCTTGGACGGATGCAGTTTCACTTATAAACTGAAAATGAAAATAATTACACATTTTGGTCCATCCCGGACCATTTAATTTTGCCATAGACGTAAAACGTTGTCCAGTTTTTATTTCCAGTTTGTGGCCAAGTATTTTCACTTTATTCCAGTATTCGGCTGGTTGTACCCTACTATAATTGTGTTTGTAAGGTTTGAGTCACAGCTCCTGGTAATGCCTTTTAACTCTCATTATCCGACTTTACTGGTAAATTTGTAGCCTCCATGGCCTGATTATACCTAATGAAATGACTGAGAGAGTCTCAGCTTCCGGCCCTGCCTCTTAATTCACATCATGCGGATTTACTGATTCCTCACCTCCAACACCCGATCATGCCTAGTACTGTAAATAAGGCACACTATGCTGGTTTTGGCGTTTTATTACTGAAGACGTTTCGTCCACTAGGGACTTAATTTATTTTTCTTAAAGACAGGTTTGTAGATGAATGGTTCAGAGAACCGACATGTTGATAAATTAGACACATGTGCAACTCGGGTATCTTTATTGAGGATAATAATAAAGATACCCAAGAGTTGCACATGTGTCTAATCTATCATTCTTAAAGACAATTGAGCAAACATTATTATATATTTAATAGAAAGGGTTTTGGTCTTGAGACCTTGATCACTTCTAACATATTAAAGTGATCAGGGCCCTAGGACCGAAACCTTTTCTAATAAATATGTACAAATGTTTGCTCACGTGTCTTTTTAAACCACTTTTCGGTATCAACTATCAGGGTGTATAATTGAATTGATAAAGTCCCTGGAGGACGAAACTTTTTCATAACCCTCGTATCGTGACTCATTTACATACTGCCAATACATTTTGATATTGTATTACCACGCCTAGTGCCGATGGCTGATGATGATTTTGTGTTCAGGTGGATCTGGAGCACCAGAGGGAGGTGGTGACGGCGGACGGGATGGCCCTGGCACACATGTGGGGGTGCCCCTTCATCGAGGCCTCCGCCAAGAACAGGTGTAACGTCAACGAGGTCTTTGCTGAGATCGTCCGCGAGATGAATGTCAACCCAGGCAAGAAGGACACTGGCAACTACTGCTGCTGCGTTCTCCTCTAACGGCCAGGTGAGTCCTGTAACGAGCTATGTATATTTGTTGTGCAAGTGTAAGCTGCAACTGTCAGCGACTTCTGCAATTGTCTGGCGAATCCAGTAACAGCCAGGTTATTGTTTTAATGATCAGATAAGTCCTGTAACGACCAGGTAAGTCCCATAAAAGGTTTTTTTTTTATTAACACTTGTATATTTCCATAATCTTGTTTAAACAAGACTATGGTAATTATTCGATTTCTGTAAAAAAAAAAATTCAAGTGCTCCAGTATCTTACTGTGTTCTACAGAAGATAGGCTGGATTGTTCGGCTAGTACCAACAGCGGTTGAGCAAGCCATCAACCACGAGGACTGATCAGGTACCGGGCCGCGAGGGAGGGAGGGGGCTGCTGTGTCCATTCTCGGAATCATCTTCAGGTAACCTTCAGGTATCAACTGACTACTGATATTGCTGGCCTTCAGGACGCTGAAAATATGTAGTGTTTGCCTTTACACAGTATTATATGTTGCTTAAGACTATACAAATACTGTTTTGGAATGGTAAGATTGTAGTTAAATATGGTAAGACACCATAAAAAATAAACCAAGACTTAATAATTGAATAAAATTTGCAAGTTTATTGAATGCATAATTCAAAATTTGTATACTTTTATTTAATGATAAAATTAAACTCGGTAGCGAGCTAGCTCCTCACCAAACTAAACGTTTTCTGCTAATAAATATTTGTACGTAGTGTCTCCTATCATATTGATATTGACAGAGTTATCATGCGTGGCGTTGGCGACCCTACTGCTGGAGTCTTGAATATTTTAAATTTCACCTCAAAACTCATGAAAGATTGGAGAAAGCACTTGGCAACTTTGGGTTCCTACCCTGGGGCGGTCGCCTTCCCTCCATTCCTTGTGCCACAAAATGTGTATTTTTACATGTAATGATTTTTACGTTTTATATTATATTATATATATATATATATATATATATATATATATATATATATATATATATATATATATATATATATATATATATAACACACACACACACACACACACACACACACACACACACACACACACACACACACACACACACACACACACACACACACACACACACACGCACGCAAGGAATTCGCAAGAGCAGGCGAAATATACACAAGGAGGAGACTCGAACCTACGAACCTTCGAACAAGGTACGCAGTGCCTTACCATTCTCACCACACTGGACCAATACCTTGGCGTCTAGCTTAAACTAGACGTTTGATCCAAGGCAGCCAGCTTTCAGGGAGAAGGCTTACAGCTTTTCATCTCATCCCCTGCATGCATCAGCCTTACCAGAGATTTTAACAATGCAAGGAATTCGCAAGAGCAGGCGAAATATACACAAACACTGATCTCTGGCTGTAGTGGAGGGAAGGCGGGTTAGGGGTCGGCCTAGGAAAGGTTGGAGGGAGGGGGTAAAGGAAGTTTTGTGTGCGAGGGGCTTGGACTTCCAGGAAGCATGCGTGAGCATATTTGATAGGAGTGAATGGAGGCAAATGGGAAATACAATGCCTGTACATTAAAGGAGGGGTGTAGGATATTGGCAGTTTGGAGGGACGTCTAAACTGCGTATCTGAGCGTATCTGTAAAGACAGTGATTATGTATGAGTGATGGTGAAAGTGTTGAATGATGAAAGTTTTTTCTTATATATATATATATATATATATATATATATATATATTATATATATATATATATATATATATATATATATATATATATATATATATATATATATATAACTTTCATCAGAGACTGTCATGTAGGGGGGTAATGATTAGGGGAATATGGGGGTAAGAGGAGGGAGTCAGTAGGCAGGGGACAGGCAGGCGAGGTGGTAGGAGAGGTGATTAGCGGAGGTAGGTAAGTAATGTGAGGTCACTGGTGACTACAACTTCACCTCTCATTACTCTGCCCACCACTCCACACTACTCACCCTCTCACTACTTTAACTAAACATAAATAAATGGAAATAAGAATAAATAACGGGGACAGTGAATATTACTATTCTACTCAAACACAGTTTATTATTAAGATTATTAAGTCCTTGTACAATAATATATTTGGGAACAGGAGCACATCATTGGGGTTTAGATAAATGGGGTGGTACACATAAGCAGTGAGACAGGGAACACAATCAACTTGACGAAAATGAATATAACTTACAATATAGTTCAGAGGGGAGTTCATCACAGGAGCTAAGCCACAGGTCCCAAGACCTACACAGCACGAGTACTGCGCCAAGCCAGTACTCTGCCCAATGCCTCTAACAGTCTCCTCCAGAGACTTCAGTAGCCTTCTCCCGAGCCCTGCACCCCAGCCGCAGCTCCTCTCGAAGTCTCTGCTCGGAGCTCTGCACCCAGGCCAGTGCTCCGCACGAATCTCCTGATCATGCTCTTCCTTGGGCTTTTATGGTGGTCCAAGCACCCTCCACAACCACGTGTACGACCTGACGCCTAGGTCTGACGCCGTCAAGAACAAAAGACCTCAGACGTGGGCGTGGCTACAGACGTTTGCCAAGGCAAGGTGTGACCATATAATTGGTTAAATTAGGTCTCCCCAGAGACCTCACAAGCCCAGCTACATCACAAGACACAGACAGACGGAAAGATCGCAGTCAGCAGGACTCGATACTGCTACTGGGATGGACAAGATTCCCAGGCAGTGCTCTCACAGCCACACAAACGCCACTTGTATAAGCTGGGCAGCCTGGTTCACAAGCCACGTTGACCACGCAAGCACCAGACTAGCTTAGCCCATGGCCAGGCTGTGATGGATATGTGGGGCAGCAGGCCTCCAGCAGCAACAGCCTGGTGCATCAAAGGTAAGTTGCAGTGGTTCCTTTGATGTGTCTTTGCTAAAACTATGAACGCTTCTTCACCATGAGAATACTGGCCATTTGTAACGCAATAAATTAAACAGTTTACAACAAACTCAAAATTTCTAAAGGAAACTTTAGACGAAGTTTGTGGCCGTCGTGAACATTGCCAGTGGAGAGTGATGGTCCAGAAGGAACCTAAACGTTGTTTTAAATTTCTCCTCAGACTTGTGGGTTGGTTGTGGCACTTGCATAGTTAATGTTCCCCCAGTTTGGATAACAGAGATTCGCCACCCCTTCAGGAAAACCGTGAAAAAGCGTTGTGCTTTTTTTTTTTTATCTGCCCATCCTTATATTTTATACTGCACAAAAACTAATATAACCACCTAACTTATTCTTGCCAACAGTTAAACGATAAGAATTACCGAAAAATTTACCAAAAATATCAGGGTATCTTAAAAATTTCCATAATAGTTTAATTAACTTTTGACTTTGGGAACATCTTCTGTTAATCTTTGGATAGCTTATAACCCTTGAAATAGGTCGTAGTTATATCTCTCATTTTGTGTCTTGTTAGTGCTAGGCCCCAGTCGGGTTTGGCTGCAGACCAGACTTCTCATGGGTTGCAAGAGAAGTTTCTCTTGCCACCCATGAGAGAGCTGAGGTCTTTTGCATTAAGATCACCAAGGAGTGCGGCCTGACGGAAATTCATTCTGTCGTGTGAATTCAGTGGTCAAATCTCCCACCATCATCAGGTCATCATAATGTGAATTTTCCCGAGATACATCACAAAGCACATCTCTTCATGATTGTTGTTGCTGGTGAAGCAAAACAGAAGCGCCTACGCATGCGCGCACGCACGCAAGCGGGCTCCACCTCTGGTGCAAGCTGTAAGCCCCAGTTTACCTACAGACAGTACACAGATAACTCGCACACAGGAGAATGAAACTTATGACGACGTTTCGGTCCGACTTGGACCATTAACTAGTAAAACTGTGCGGGTTATTTATGTATTGTTCCAGTCATAGTATTGTGCCTTTTTATTCTTTACCTATTGACAATTTCGGAGTTCACTGCCCCTGCGACTTGGTCCCAGACCAGGCCTCACGGTCTGATCAATCAGGCTGTTGGTACTGGCCACATGCAGTCCAATGTAGGCTCTTGAAAACAGCTAGAGACCGACCTAGAATCACTTCAAATTTTCTTCCTTACCACTCCACATATATTATTTTCTTAGGCAATTATTTGTTTTATTGGCACAAGCGTGTATACATTATAAATCTCCATGGATTTCCATTTCTAATGGAACAAAGTGATATCCATGGCCCAAGTCTCCAGAGTTGAGTTTAGATTCTTCCTTGTGATAGGCACCACCAGCACCATGCTGCCCAACACAAATGAATACAGGTGTCAGCCAAGCAGATACGCAGGTATAGTCCCACAATACATGTCTGTCAGTGAGAGAGAGAGAGAGAGAGAGAGAGAGAGAGAGAGAGAGAGAGAGAGAGAGAGAGAAGAGAGAGAGAGAGAGAAGAGAGAGAGAGAGAGAAAACAAACTAGGGGCTCATGTGGAGGTATAAAAGCCTTCGTCCTAAGCTTCTGAGGAATCAGATGGAGTGATAACCGAGGCTGGGCATGAGTAGTGAGAGTTAGAATCCTCACTGGCAAAATGGAAATACCTGATCGCTTTCATTCATTTACACACATCTTCAGAGTAACTAGTAGACGGTGGTGGGGTAGTTGAGTGGTGGTTGGAATTGAGTGGTGGTGGTGGTAGGATGTGTGGTGGTGGGATGTGTGGGTTGTAGTGGGTAGTAATGTTCGTAGGTGGGCATCCTCATTCCACTTGACACGTTGCAAGAAAGATCGTTTGTGATGTACCCGAGAGATTCCCACCATACCCTCCTTAGGGAGTTGTAAGTGGCTTGCTGGGCCCCTCAAGAGAGACTGCTGAGACTCCTAAGATAGCAGGCTGGGATTAGTAACGAGTTGCGCTAAGGCAGAAGATAAGTTATTGGACGTACGGGACTAGAGAAGATGAAGTGATGGGACCTATGAAGACTATGCTGGAACTAAGTGATGAGGTACTAGGACTTCAGTGTGTGTGGTGTGTGTGTGTGTGTGTGTGTGTACTCACCTAGTTGAGGTTGCAGGGG